TTCAAAAAAGTACTAATACCAAAATCATTGTTTGGGTGCAATAATAAACATCCTGAGTCTACAGTTAGGTGCTAATAAATTTGGAATTAATATATTTAAAAAAAAATAATGTAGGGTAATGCTTCCAGACTTTTGAATGTACCACAAGACCTTAACTGACAATTCTCTCTCTCTCTCTCACTGTATCTTTAACTGAGACCCAAAATGAATGTCAAAATGAATACTCTAGAATAAAGACAGATTCAACATTCTCATGATAAATGTCCCCTTCATCATCAACTTTCTAGACAAACATCATGTAGAAGCTTTTTCTCTCCTTTTTTCAAATATTAACTTTTTAAAACTACTAATCCGCTTATATTTCTCGTGTTAATTAAAGAAAATCACTGTAGTGGCTTCAGTTGATTTATTATGGAGCAACCACTTAAGGTTGCAAGTAAATTTCTGTTTAAAGCCAAAATTTGCTTCTTCTCTAAAACCAACACCAGCCTTGAAAATTGTTAAGTCGGGTGCAGGGTCTGGGTAGAGTACCTGGGGAAAAATGTAGGCTACTTGCACAGGGGGTTCCTGAAATATAGCACTCCCAAATAGCTGCTCTCAAAGTTTCAAAAGTCTTCTAATGCTTTTTTGTGCACAGATAGAGAATAAGTGAGGGTTAAGATACATGAAGCTTATTTCTCTGAAATGAGATCTAGTGCACAATATGAAGAATAACGTGAAATTAAAAAAATAAAATGTTATTAGACCTTGTTTTGGAACTATAGAGTGGCATGATTGTGTCAGTGACCGATAGTGTTGTGATCCACTAACAGATTACCAGTACTGTAAAGACTTCTGACTAAAGTGCTCTGCTGTGCTGTACTTCCCAGTATGTTCTGAATTTTGAGAGATACCTCCCCATCAGAATACCCTTTAGCCTAAGAGAAAGTGCACTGCTCATAAAATTCAAGTCTCCTTTTCTATCTACTGCTGTTAACATTTCTGTACACTTCAGAATCTTTATTATTATTCACCACAGTCTGATGCCCCTACCCTAAGAGGCAGACAAGTATAATACCTTCTTATATCTTTCCCCCCACCTCCCATTTTACAAATATGGTACTTGAGAGGTGAAACAATGTTAATTCTGGCAGAGATGGGAGTAGAATCTAGGTCTCTAACATGGCAGACCCAACTCATTTCAATCTTAAATGTATCACTTCCTAATTCTTTACGGCTTGTCTTTGCAACCTTAACAGTTCTAATATATAATAGTCACTTATAAAGTTCTTTACAAACTTGCAGCAAGATGTTTTCTGCTCTTAACAGCTTGTAATCTAAGATTAATCTAACAATTAAAAATAGGGTGACCAGATAGCAAGTATGAAAAATTGGGACGGGAGTGGGGGGTAATAGGAGCCCATATAAAAAAAAGAACCAAAAATCGGGACTGTCCCTATAAAATTAGGACATCTGGTCACCCTAATTAAAAAATATAAATAAAGAGTAATGTATGGTTGGTATGTGCCATCAGATACCAAAAGCCAGAATTTGATTAACCTGATGTTATCACTTTCTTTAATACCTCATTAATAGAAACTACAATAACAAAAACTATCTAATGTAAAGTGACTATAGGTGGGAAGTCACAACATATGGCCTACTGTGTGGCTGCTCTCCACAGGAATAGATGCAGACCAGTATGCTTGGCAATTGGCATCATTCCCTGGCCAATAATTACTGTGCATTAACCCAGATGATGGGGCGTGCATGTATGGAGAATCTTTCTTTAAGGTGGAAGGAAACAGTGACGAAAACTGCAAAAATTCATGGATAAGAAGCCAGAGAAATTCCTCCAGTTGCATGACCCGTATGTGTTCAAAAATATTTTAAAACTTCCCAGCCAAGCAATGTATTTTCTCCTTCTCTTTTTTCCCATATGATGTGTATTTTCATTTGCTGAATGCATAATATGCTATTTACTGTGACCTGCTGGAGGGTTGCTATTTAAGATCTTCCTGATTTGAACAGGGAGATTCTGCATCCTGCAAGGGCTACTTGTGGTCAATATTCACAAGTCCCAAATCAATTTAATAGCAAGCAGACCTTGATGCTGCCATGAGATGAGATCATGTTCTATGATGATGGGCTGAAGTATCAATGACAATGTGACAAAATAATATTGCAGTGTGAGCTTCTGAGGCGATGTGATGCTAATAAACATTAGATGAAATTTTGATGTGATGATGTGATAGGATAACATAGGAGATTTTGAGGCAATGGGATAACGTGTTACAAGTGGTGTAATGGTAATACAATGCAATGTTTGGGTGTGGTACAGTATATGAATGCAACAACATTGTGATTATGCAGTGGCGCAACACATCCTCTCTGTGTACAAGTACTGAGATGTCCATGTTTCTTCCTACTCACTTCTTAGCATGTGTAACTTTAGACTGTAAACTGGGGCAGTGAGTGGCTTTACTATGTTCTGTAAAGTGACTAGCACACTTTAAGAGCTGTATAATAATACTATTGCATTAAGACACTACATGAGCCTATTGTGAAATGCTATAGCATTTGGTAACAAAGCTGGAGTGCTGTGAGTATACTGCTGTGACACTGTATGAACACTGTGAGGCAATCTTGCAAGGACACTGTTGTACAAGGCAGTACGGGATAAGGATAAGTGTGAGACAGTAATATGATAGTGATGCTGTAATAATAATTAATGGAGATATCCCATCTCCTAGAACTGGAAGGGACCTTGAAAGGTCATTGAGCCCCCTGCCTTCACTAGCAGGACCAAGTACTGATTTTGCCCCAGATGGCCCCTCAAGGATTAAACTCACAACCCTGGGTTTAGCAGACCAATGCGCAAACCACGGAGCTATCCCCCACACTGTAGTGTAAAGGGATAATGTAGACGCCTGAGGAAGTAACACTGAGCAGGTTCTGTGGTGCAAGATGATGACCAGGGATCCTAGTTTTCCGTGATAAAAAACCAAAAATTCTCTGATGAAAAAAAACATAAAAATTTGCATTTTCCCTTGATTTAAATGAAATGCTGAACTTTCATTTCCCATGTCTCGATATATAGGTATTAGTTGAACACAATGTTTTATTGATATAGTTACAATTTTTAAGCTGACAGTGCAAGTGCCGCTGCCCAGGGCTGAAGCTGAAGCTCTGCCACATGGACCTGACAGTCCGAGCCCATTCGCCTGATTATCCAAATTATTGATTATCCAATCTGGCCCCACTCCCAATTAGATCAGATAATCGGGGTCCACTGTATATGTTTTTATTTTTTCACAAATGTAAAAGCTAAAGATTATCTGTAAAAATGCAAATTCCCTGGCAAACGGATTTCTAGGATTCATTTTGATGACGCTGTGAGTGACATCATGGTTCAAGGCAATGATGCAGCAGTGGAAGCACTGCTGTGACACAACGTGGATGATATAACATCATGAGACAAGGCTAGGGTTTCCACCTTTCTGATTGCAGAAAACGGAACAATCTTGCCCCACCTCCTGCCTCGCCCCTTCCCCAAGGCCTCCCGCCCTGCCCCTTCTCCGAGGCTCCACTCCCCACTCAGTCCATTGCCCCTCCCTCTGTCGCTCGCTCTCCCCCACCCTCACTCACTTGCTCATTTTCACCGAGCTGGGACAGGGGTTTGGGGTACAGGAGGGGGTATGGGCTCTTGGCTGGGGGTGCAGGCTCTGGAGTGGGACCGGGGATGAAGGGTTTGGGGTGCAGAAGGGGGCTCTGGGCTGGGACCGAGGGGTTCGGAGTGTGGGAGGGGCTCAGGGCTGGGTCAAGGGATTGGGGTACATAACGGGGTGTGGGCTCTGGGAGGGAGTTTGGGTGCGGGAGGGGACTCAGGGCAGGGGCGGGCAGTTGGGGCACAGGAGAGGGTTCACGGTGTGGGCTCCAGGCGGTGCTTACCTCAGGCAGCTCCCAGGAAGCAGTGACATGTCTCTCTGGCTCCTAGACACAGGAATGGTCAGGGGGCTCCACGTGCTCCCCTGTCTGCAGGCACCACCCCCACAGCTCCCACTGGCAGCGGTTCCCGGCCAATGGGAGCTGCAGAGCTGGAGCTCAGAGTGGTGCTTGCGCCATGGCTAGTGGCAGCGTGTGTAGCCCCCCTGGCTGCCCCTGCACTAGGAGCCAGAGTGAAATGCCGGAGGCTATTGGGAGCTGCACGGAGCCAGACGCTGTGGCCAACTGGACTTTTAGCGGTCCGGTCAGGTGTGCTAACCAGAGCCATCAGGGTCTATTTTTGACTGGGCATTCCGGCCAAAAACCGGACGCCTGGCGACCCTACACAAGGCCATTGTGGTGACACAGCAAGGTCAAGCAGTAACAGTGAGTAGCTTCTGTGGCATGAAGGGAGGACACGGAAGCATGAAGCAGTGGTCACACCGGCAGTGATGCTGCTGCAGCACAACGGGATGGGGTAACAGTGTAAGGTAGTGACCCTGCACTAGAAGGTGGTGACACTATAGTGACGATGCAGGGTGAGGTGACGATGTAGTGGCCCAGTGATGTCATGGCAATGACATAGAATCGACAGGGTGGGTGATGTCATAGTGATGACACGACAACTGCGTGAAGCTGCTGTGGTGAACTGACCCATGGGAAGAATTGTTCAGACGACCCCCCCCCCCGCGCTCCAGCTCGCCCGCCCAACCGCTCCCCAGAGTCCGATCGGGGCAAAAGCGCGCCCGGCAGCACTAGCAGCGCTACATCCGGGTCCCGCCCGCCACCGAAGGGTTACGCAACTGCTGACTCCGCCCACTCATCGAACACGCACGCCCCGCCTCTCCCTCCCCAGCCCCTAGTTAGTACTTCAGTGGGGCGGGAGGAAAACTGCGAAGTCCCTTTCTGATTGGGTCCCTCTCCTTGGGCGTGTGCGGATTGGTCGGAGTTCTGAGGGGCAGGTCCTGCAGGCCATTGGACGACGACTTTTGTGAGCGGCTCGCTCATTGGCGGAGAGGGGCGCTAGGTCTCGGGCTGGGGGAAGAAGCTATTGGCTGGAAAGTAGGTTAGTGGTGCGACGTTCAGTGGCAAGCCAGGCGGAAAGTAGGTCAGGGACGGGGGCTGCCTGCGCTGCCCATAGCCCTCACCGCGCCGCCGAGGGGCACCGACCCCCTCCCCCCTATACGGTGAGGCGGGAGGGGTGGGGAAGAGGGGCTGGTACCGGTCGGGGACCCGGCGGGGGAGAGAAGGGGGCGACTCCTGTCAGAGGGGGGAGAGACGGGGTTACCGTCAGGGAGAGTGCGGGGGCGAGAGACTGGGGGCGATTCCTTTCCGGAGCCCAAGAGAGCGAGGGGAGTGTGTGTGTACATCGAGGGGGCGAGGGGCAGGGAGTGGGGGTGTATGGAGGAGTGGAGGTAAGGGTGTGGGGGTGTATGTTGGGGGTGTGTGGAAGGATGTGGGGTATTTGTATGGGAGGAGGGGGTGTTTGTGGACACCCAGGAGAAATATACATTACAAATGTGTGTGTATACTGTATCTACATTACAGGTCCCCATCCCCATACCCTGAGACCACCACCCCCTCTCCCCCTGCCCAGTGTATTCCCAGGGTATATAGTTTTCAATGCTTGTGAGGGAAGAGGTGGGGGAATAGACCGAGTGCCTCCTTCTGAGTGGAGAGCAGCATCCTCTCTCTTCCAGCCGTGGCTAAGGCATAGTGGCTGGTTCAACTTGGGGTTTGTTTTTGTTGAATAACCCCCTGCTGTGTGGTGTAATAAATGACAACAGTTAACCATAAGCGTATATATAAGAACCTAATGGAAATACTAAGAAGTCAAACAGGATGAAATGGGCTTATTAATACACAGAAGGAGAAGCTGCAGGTGGATTCCACTGGTTATAGCTTACATGGTGGAAGATATGCATCAGTTCTTAGTGCTTAGAGTCTATCTTAGTACATTGGTTAAAATAATTTGCTTTACTTGTAAATCTGAGGTAATTGTAATTATTCTGTGCGGAAAATGTCCAGTGCTGGAACAAAGTGTGGTTCGGTCCCTTCATGTGCCCTCTGAAGTATGAGGGCTCCCAGCCTTCCTGTAAGCAGTATTTGAGTAGATTCTTTCACCATTTTGCAGAGACAGAAGAAGAAGAAAGAGTGGGGCAAAGAGTATTAGGCCAGAAAATCTTGCTGTTTGTCAACCACTTTAAATATGATCAATCTTTTCAAATTTGCCTTGCTCTCTTAGGCTTGGTCTACACTACCCCCCTAATTCGAACTAAGGTACGCAACTTCAGCTACGTGAATAACGTAGCTGAAGTCGAAGTACCTTAGTTCGAACTTACCTTGGTCCACACTCGGCAGGCAGGCTCCCCCGTCGACTCCGCGGTACTCCTCTCGCCGAGCTGGAGTACCGCAGTCGACGGCGAGCACTAGACGCGATAAGTCGAACCCAGAAGTTCGATTGCCAGCCGCCGAACTAGCGGGTAAGTGTAGCCAAGGCCTTAGTTAGCTGAGCTGAGTTCAACCACTAAACCAAAGCGCATTGGTCCCCCTTTATGTAGGTCATCCTTGGGCCTGTTATCCCACTGTTGGCTGCCTCTGCTGTCTACCATAAATTATGTACTTGGTGGAGGGTTTGCTTATGTGAAGAATGGGATAGTTTGATGAACAAAAAATGTATGTAGTTTTAGACACCCCTTCACACCAATGTAAACAGGGTTTAAACATAACTTGTTTTAAATGAACTGGTCATGATCAATCCTAAAATCCTCCTATGGATCCTTTCTGTACTAGGTTCTAAGTAAAAAGAACAGGAGTACTTGTGGCACTTTAGAGACTAACAAATTTATTAGAGCATAAGCTTTCGTGGACTACAGCCCACTTCTTCAGAGTAGTGTCTAAAGTATTAGCTAAAACAAAATAAAAGCTACAAGACACACTATAGGAAAAGATCGAATTCCAACTGAAATGCTGAAACACGGTTCTTTGCAGACTTGATGCTAAATTCTTCCCTGCCACCTAAACTCACTAATCCTGAAACTATCATTGTTGTATGCAGTGTTGTTGTAGCTCTGTTGGTCCCAGGATACTAGAGAGAGAAGGTGGGTGAGGTAATATATTTTATTGCAGTGGTTCTCAAACTTATTTGATCGTGCCCTCTTCTTTGTGTCTAGTCATTTACGCTTCCCCTGCTCCCACCACACAAGAACAAATACCGCCAGCTCTGAAGGCTGAGTGTAAAGTGGCAGCTGCTGACCAAGCGCCCAGCATCCCGTCAGCAGCAGCAGCACGGAACTAAGGGTGGCATGGTATGGCATTGCTGGCACTGGCAGTGGTGCTGCCTTCAGAGCTGGGTGCCTGGCCAGCAGCCACTGCTCTCCTAAAGCTTCTCTCTCCCCCCCCCCGAATACATTCTGTGCCCCCCAGTTTGAGAACCTCTGTTTTATTGGACCAACTTCTGTTGGTCAGAGAGGCAAACTTTCAAGCTTACACAGAGCTCTTCTTCTGGAAGCTCAAAAGCTTGTCTCTCTCACCATCAGAAGTTGGTCCAATAAAGATATTACCTCATCCACCTTGCCTCTCTAATCCTGAAAGTATAATAACTGTCCAAAAGAATAATATTCAAGCTTTTGTGATTAGTAAAACTAATATGAACATTAGAATATCTTTAATGAGAACTGCTATCTTAATACTGTCCATTAAGACTTAGTAAGAAAAATGGAAATACACTAATTCTCCATCTTTTTATGGTCTATTATACCAAATTAACTCTCAAAATTCCCCAACAGTACCTTTGATTTTGGCATAGAAGTGCCAATATCTGTTTAAGAGTTGAATAGACTGATGCTATCGCTACACTACAGCTTAAGTTGACATAAGTTATGTCGCCGGTGGCTAATTCACACCCCTTCCCCTGAGTGACATAACTTATGCCTACTTAGTGCTGTCCACGCTGGTGCTTATGTCAGCAGGAGAGCTTCTCCCACTGACATCGCTACCACCGCTTCCAGGGGCTGGAATAATTAAGCCGATAGGAGAGTGCTCTCGGAATTGGGCCTATAGCATTCACTAACTATGAATGCTATAAAAACAATAGATAAGAATAAGTTATCTTTCTGTTCCTCTTAACTTTATCAAAACGTTTTGGGATGAAGTTTTCCAGGTATGATTTTAGCACCAAGCAAAAAGATTTTTTTTTTTAATTTGATCAATCTATTCAGGTTGAGTTATGAGTCTGCATAAAAATGTGGTGGGTTTTGTAAGCCTTATTGAAGGAGAAACTATCCAAGCTAAAAGAGAAAGTTGTATATTTTTAAAAACAAGTTATGACGTTGTTAAAGGTGGCATTTTCACTCATACGCCTAGAGCACTTTCTACTCTGCTTTCTACAGGGATGACTAAACTGGCTCAGAATTGTCAGATACTTGCATATATGGCTGCCTTCTGCTCCCTTTACTAGTTTTTTCTCCCTCGAAAGCAAGGGAAGTTAAATGCAAAATCTAATGGCAAGGTTGAAGAACTTAGCATATAAATCCTAAATTTCAAAAAAAAATTTAACACAAAACATGAACTTGGCAGAACTGTGCATGCAGTGTTCTAATTCTCCTGATGAAATGTGTACCCTCATATAGTGCTGTTTAAATGTGAGAGATTCAGGAAAAACAAGTTAACAATGTATTTGAAATCCTAACTTTTGCTGTATTTCGTTGAAAAATTTGTAGTTTTAAAGGTTGGTGAAATTGTATATCTTGGGTTTTCAGGTAATCTAATATAGCCTATAAGGAAACTTCTTTTGTAAAAACCCTGGCTAGTTAACTGTTTTACCCTCAACTATGAATGGCTGATTCTGCATTAAATATACCCTGTTGTATAAAAATGACACATGGGTATATTTTCATCACCTTTTACATCAGATTATGTGCACCACTCTACAATAGGAGCTACATATCTTATCTGATGTTTTAATCCAATCTGTGAAAAGAAATTTAATGTTAGGCTACGTATTCAGAGCCCAGGCTCCATCTCCTTGGAAACCTGATCTTTCACTCAACATTGTAAGCTTAATTTGTCTATTTAATCAATTTTTAAGAATAGATGCAAAACCTCAAAGCAGCTACCACTAGGTTTCAGCAGCTTGATGGATTCATGATCAATTTAATAAACTGGAACAAGATGTTATTTGTGGCCTTTGAGAAAGTTGATGGCTAACATAGTTGTCCTTGCACTAATTTGGACAGTGGCTAATATCTAAAAACAAATTTCAAATTACATTACAACATTAAACTTTCAGTGGGCTTTAGCCCATGAAAGCTTATGCTCAAATAAATTTGTTAGTCTCTAAGGTGCCACAAGTACTCCTCATTCTTTTTGTTTAACTAAAGCAGGGGTCAGCAACGTTCGGCACGCGGCTCGCCAGGGT